TTTTTTTTTTCTTGCAACATCGAAGCGGGTGCGCCAGGCAAACAGGAGAGAATTTGTCCCGACGGCAGTACACAAATAAGCAAATAAGTGAGGTGCAGAAGAAAATGAAGAACCAAAGAGCGCCCCAAGACAACAAAAAGAAAACTCAACTCTGCCCACGCCCATGCTGGAACTTCACTCAACAGTACAGTAATAGTGTCGATCCATTTCGTTCTTTGTTGGCCCCGTAAGCGTGGGCGCTACACCATAAATCGAACACAACCTCATTAGTGCCGGTACCGGCACTAATGAGGGATTGGCCAGCCCTCAATAGTGCCGTTTTGGCACTATTCGCAATAGTGCCGGGTGCCCGATTTAGTGCCGGTGAACGCTCTGTGCACGTACCGGCACTAAAAGGGTCCCTCGACTGTACCGGCATGTATCTGTGATGACGGGACGAAGCACGGCGACCAAAACAAAATCCCAAACGTTCCTCCTGAACTTCAAGGGAGAGAACAACATATTGGTGAAATTGAGAGCGAAGTATCTGATTGAGAGCGAGATTGCGCGATGCGCTGCAGCTGGACTACTGCTGAGAGGTGGAGCTTGCTGTGTAGCTCGAATTGAAGCGCCAACCCGTAGCTACAAGCAGATACCCTGGTCATCCTGTGAGAGTCTCTCGATGTGGAGTTACAGCGGCGAGCAGCAGCCACAGCAGAGCCCACGGCCCGAGGCCACACCGCCCTGCAACAGTTTGAGGCAGGAATAGCCAATATGGGGAAATCTAGCAACTTGTCTAGCTCCTGGCTCCAGCATCCGATGACGATGACACCCATATGCTCGTGACGCTGCTGATGAGACCTTCAATTTGCGCCGCTTCTTGAAAGAAAGAGCCCGCCCCCTACTTACCAAGAAATGGCAAGAGGCGTCTGGACCCGAATTTTCATTTTTTTTGGCTCCCGCTCTCAATTTCATGCTTTGCTCTCAATTTCACCAATAAATATGGTGTTAGAGGTGATGGCCATGTCCCGCTACACAACCGCGGTCCCGAGGCCTCGGAGAGAAAGAAGGGCGTGCCTCCCTGTGCGCTTGTGGCGGCAAATTGTGATGGAGTATTGATTGACGCAACCGAACAAGCGGGTGGTTTGTTTAACGAATTTCGGTTACCTACCGTATGTTGGTGTCGTGTGAGACTCGCGGCGCGCGTGTGTGTGGTTGTTTACTTGGCAGGTTGGTCGTGGCGTGTGCGGTTGTTTACTTGGCAGGTAGGTAATAGAGGTAAGGGCGGGTGATGTGTGTCTATCCGCTGTTCGTGTGTGGCTGTTCGTCTTACCCCCCCGCCGTTGTAGGGGTTCACGTCGGTGGTTCAGGCCGTTCTCTTTTTTGTCTTGTGTTTACAAAACAGCCGAGCCAACCTACCACTATAGCTGTGGGGTCTCCAGCGGCGATTCCAATGCATGCATGCGGGAGGGGAGGGAGCGGAGAAGAGAGAGAGAGAGGTGGGACGCAGACCAAGACGGAGCAATTGCATGCCGCTTATAAACCGGGCTCGTTTTCTGACAAAGTGCAACCTATTAACCTATTTGCACTTTTGACCTCTCTCTCATCGTTCGTATTTCTCGATTCTTCCTATTAATTGAATAACCCGCCGCGGTCGGCGTGCTATCGCGGGCATTGAATGAATGTTAGAACAGTAGACTTTGTAGAATGATAGGTAGACTGATGAAGTAGAACGAAGTGGCATGCACGACAATAATTCATCAAATAAATACCCCTTTTGTTGCTGGTTGCGTTGAGTCACAAACACCGAACAGAAGATATCTCCTTCGTTGGCGTCACGTTTTGAACCATGGGGGGGGGGGGGGACTGGTTAGCCTCGCCCCCCAAAACCCGCCCATCCATCCNGGGGGGGGGGGGTGACTGGTTAGCCTCGCCCCCCAAAACCCGCCCATCCATCCAGAACAATCTCTTCTCACTCTACAGATCATCTTGCCGGTGGAGGCATAGTTTTGAAGAAACAATCACTTGAAGCAAGGCAAAGAAAGTCCTTGGTCCGGTGAAGTCGCTAAAAATACACCGCAGTTGTACTTCAAGCGTGAAGTACTTGTTGTATGAAGAATCGTACTAGATATACTTCCTGTAATTTTTTTTTTGTTTTTCTTCAAACATTATCTGCGCGTCGCTCGGAAACCCCACAGCACTGCGGTCGCCAACCAACGGCGCCATTGCTGTGGAAGTCCGCGTTGCTGCGGCGTTGAGGATCCTGGCTGGCGGCAGTTACTGGGATGTTGCCCTCATGTTTGGCTTGTCGAGGGCGGTCACGTTCGACATCTTGTGGCAAGTGATCGATGCCATCAACGAGACGCCTGCGATTGGGGCATTTGACTTCCCCCTGACCGAGGAAGGCTGCATGCGAAACGCCAACAGATTCAAGGTGAGACCTAACGGTGGTCAGTACTGCAACTGCGGTTATTCTTGACGGCACTCTTTCGACCAACCGCGGGATATCGTGTATTTTTTCACGTCTGCTGTTTCCAGCCGTTTTAGCGTAGGGAGGACTATCTATACGCAGCCCTCGTTGAGAAGAGAGAAACAAAAATGTTGTCGCCGGGGGGTACGAGTTCGGGTTGTCATCGTGGTCAGCATGGTTCGAACCGAAAAATATCCCTCGGGTCCCGGGTGGTTCGCCAGCTCTCGGTGTCCTTGGACAAATAGATGTTGTTGTCATCCTTTGTGTATGCTGGCCACGTTGGTTCGGCCCCGCAACAGCAGTGGCCCGGCAACAGCTTTAGCGATACAAGAGTGTGGAATCAATGCAGTCACCTCCGTGGCTCTAAAATGCCCTGATACCTTTGTACCGCTGTACGTGACGCAGTATGATTATGATTATGATTATCAAACGGCCCAACTCTCAGTTTACATGGTATGCCCGCCGTTGCTGGCGATGGCGCCGTCGCCGATGACATCAACCCACACAACGTACAGCTGAACACTGTTACCAATTTTTGTCAAGGTATCTCTCGACTTATTTTATATCCCTTCCCGACACTGCTACTTTCCCGCCCTCGTGTCTGCCGTCTACAAATGCAGGAGAAGAGCACCGATGGCATTTTCTCCTGGGTCGTCGCCGCCGTGGATGGTCTGTTCATCAAGGCCAAGGCTCCGTATGCGAAAGACACCGCCAACGTCCTCGCGTACTACTCTGGCAGCAAGTCCGCGTACGGCATCAACGTACAAGCGATGTGCACCGCCGACTACCGGTTTTGCGCGATGTCGGCGATCTCACCAGGCTCTACGAACGACTGGGTAGCATGGAATCGATCTTCCCTCGCCAAGGCCGTCGCCCGCTTGCCCACCGGATTTCACATCATTGGTGACGCCGCCTACCCCATCGGAGAAAAGCTTCTGACTCCGTACCCTGGGAGGCTCCTGCCGGCGGGTGAGGACTCGTTCAACTTCCACCTGAGCCAGCTTCGTGTCAAGATCGAGCAGAGCTTCGGCATCCTGGTTTCGACTTGGGGCATTCTGTGGAGACCTCTCCGCGTGCAGTTCGCAGGACGCGCGGATCTCATCACGGCTCTTTTCCATCTGCACAACTTCCTGCAAGACGAGAAGGTATCGCCGATCCAGGTTGCAGAGGAGGACTCGCGCAGCGGACGCAACCGGCCGGCCCTCTGTGCTACGCAGCGCACCTTGCCGGATGGCTGGCAAACGGAGCAGCCGGCTCCTTCGAGGAGCGGTGAGACCCCGGCCCGAGCGGCTATCCGCACGGCCCTGGAGTTGAAGAAGCAGTGGAGGCCGGACTACAACCGCCGGAGGAATTCGTAAGCACGTATCCAGCCCGGCGGCATCGTGTCGCGCGCGCACAAGCGGGAAGTGGGGACGGGTCTACATAGGGGCGGATGGGGGCGGATGGGGAGGAAGGTCGCTACTACAAGCGGGCGAGAGGCGCGGCGGGGGGCAAGGGGGGTGGGGGTGGGGCGCGCGGGGATGCGATTCTTCCCGTGGCGGGTACACTAAAAGGGCGGGTTGCGGTTAGGGGCCACATGAGCGGATGGCGGCAGAAGTAGGCTAGCTTCCACGGTATGACGAGACGCGTGAAAGGGAGGATAGCGGCGCGGGAGGGAGAGGCGCAGGAGGGAGATACCTCAATGTAGAGGGCGGAGGGCGCTGGAAGGACGTGTTTTGGGTGTTGGTGGTAGGGTGTCGGCGCATCCCGGGGAGAGGTGGGGGGTGTGATGTGTGACATGTTGATTCTCGCTGACATGTTTTGTGGGTGTCGGTGTGGAGCGTTCTGACCAGATGTGTCCTGGTACACTTGGTTCGTATTGTGTGTGTTCGTGCCGGCAACACTTTATGGTTAACATGCATCGTGTGCGGATGAAAGCGGGGTCCTGTGGGTCTTGGAGGGTGCTTGTTTTGCCTAGGGCATTAAAAATGTGGGCATGTTCGACTTTTTTTTCCTAATTGATAGGAGGGTGTGAATCGAAAACGTTGTTGTCGTTGATACAACTTTTAATGATGTCTCTGCATCCCTGTATTAAATATTCGTCGCGTGGGTGAAACATTGCTCCAGGTTGCAGACCTGAAGGAGACCCACACACACGCTAAAAATTGGGGTCTTGTCGAATCCCATCGCGAACACATTCCTGCGCTTCAAGTGAGCATGCGCGGAGATGGGAAAAATTGCAAGGCTCCAAAATTGCGGAATCAAAGCGTGCCTCAGAGTTCCCGCCAACACCCAACGTAGTATTGGGTTGCAAGAACAAGTCTTGCAAATAGGAAAACACCAAACGATATGCATGTCCGCAGATTGGCGGCACGGCAGGTTACCCCCAAGACAGCAATGTCTTCGGCGTTTTTCAACCATATTATCCTTGATACTCATTTGTTGCCTCAAGGCATCCTCTCAAAGTGTTGTTGCCAGCCAAACAACCACACGTCTCTGCGGAGGCGCACGTATCCTAAAAAAAATGATGCTACGAAAAGACTAAGTCGTTGACTCAACCATGCCCAACAAAAAAATTGAAACCTCCCCCCCCCCTGGCCCAAAAAAAAAAGAAGGCTACGACCCTCGCAGCAAGCAAGCCCTGCAGCAGGGAGAGAAATAAAAAAACGCATCCTCGTGTTCGTTGAATACAGTCACAGCAACTTGCCCGTGAACCACAACGGTCTCGGCTTTCTTCCACTATATTTATTTTGTTTATACTCATTTGTTGCCGTAAAGCATCCTCTCAAAGTGTTGTTGCCTACCAAACCCACACGTCTATGCGGAGGCGCACGTATCCTCAATGCTGCGACGAAACGAAGACGTTGACTCAACCATGCCCAACGATAAAAATGAAACTACCCCCCCGCCCCCCGCCCCGTCACGCATGCATAAAATTCGACGATTGCACGGTAACACTCTTCCGGGAGTGCATATGGGTGTTATTCGTCGCCAAACATTTCCTTCTCGATGCCGGCCAACATTTTGCGCAGGAATCTAACTCTCGTCTGATAACCCTCTGCTTTTTCTTTCTCCTCCTCCACAATTTTCTTCGAGAATTCGGCGTGGGACTCGGTCATTTCCTTCTGGAGGGCGAGGCCAGAAGCCTTGCTGTCGTGTTCAGCAGTCTTGCAAGCGTGTTCCTCTTTTTTTTTGTACCACTCTGATTTTTCTGATCCGCCAACCTTTTCCAGCAGTGGCTCAATATCTTTGAGTGCGGTTTTCATGGCAGCGGACGTAGCCTCTGCCACGCTTTGCCCCACCCCCTTATTTTTTGGCTTTTTTCCCCGCCTGTTCTGCTCGTTGAGCCTGGCGCCCTCCCGCTTGGCGGCAGCCCGGCGGTCGGCACCGCCTGTGCAGACAATACCCTCTCCGGTCCCGTCGTCCTCTCGCTGAGCGCCCTCGGGGAGGAGATTGTTGCACACTTGGTTCAGCTCGGGGTATTTCTCGATTGCGCAACCGAGAACATACGTGTCCGTGCACCCTGTAAAACAAAAAAAAAATGCAAGGCGCGGGCGGGAGGTTTTTTTGGACCAATTGGTATGGTCTTTGGTCGTGCTTCAAAATACACCATCAGGCCTCAATGCCAACGTCATTCCTGGAGCACGGTTTACAACACTGTCGAGAACTCCAAGTATAACTTCAAAACTCCGACCGTAGCAGCACTTGCACGCTGTGAAGGAGGATGGGCGGAATTTATGCCACGACCACAAAATCGCCCAAGGTTCCTCGAGCAAACAGACGCTATTTTGTACCCAGCCCCACTCCACCCATCCCTTACCTTGACAAAATGAAAGCCATGGCTGGTTGTTGCCGGATTCACTCTTCCAGTTGGCATAAGGCTGGTTCCACTTCGCCTTTGCCGTAGCCCACATCCTGGAAAGCTTCTCCGCGGAGATGTTTGGTTGCTGGATGATGTTCGGGTCGACGTGAGACACTTGCTGGTCGTCCACGATTTTTCTCACCTGCAAAACGTCCACATCACCCATATATGGGGCATGCATACAGCGAGAGAGCGAGGGAGCGGGCAGCGCAGATCATACACGTGTTCTTTAAAAAAACTTACATAGAGTACCGCCCCCCCGGGCGTGCGAGGAATTTAACACGATTTTGATACGAAGAAAAACAACATACCGAACGGGGAATGCACCTCTCGTGGGAAGCTTAGTACTGTCGGCCTGATCCCGGCCTGTATTTTAGCGTTGCTTCTGCAGTGTTATTTTTTTCTGTCGTGTAATATTGTTTGGCTATGCACTCCTGTGGAATTCTTCTGCGCGTTTTCTAAGTCTTCCACCAATAGGTGAAGGTTTCGAAGCAACTACAGCAGTATGATCGGCGTCGGCGTCAGCAACAACACCATAAGTTACCGGTGTACGTCAACAGCAGGTTGACCCGCTCTTGGGGGTGGATACCTCATGGGTTTTTACCTAAAACAATGGCGATCGTCCGTGGACGTCATGAGGTGTTGAGTACGATGGCTAAAATGACCACAAAAAAAAGGCATGCGTGTCAACATACATATCGACTGCTGTCTATGTACAATGTTCTCGGCCGATCCGTCCTAATCAATCCCCTACCCATGACCGTGTACCTGGTGGTCAGGGTCTCGGAAGCGCGTGGTGACCTCTGTCCACAAATCGTTCCGCGGCCCGACTGATGACGTGTCCAGGTCCTGCCGGGTCGCCTGCAAGCGGCTCTCTATGAGAAGTGGGCGGATGGCGTCTTCGCACAGGATCCCAACGAGCCGCATCATGCAGTGTGGGCCCTTGCGCTCCGTGTTGCTGCCGCTCCCTCCGACGGAACCATCCCCGTCCGGTCCGGCTGCACCACCCGTCGATGAACCACCAGTGGAAGCACTCCCGCCCGCAGAATCCCCCGTTCCCGCTTCGTCTTCCTTGGCCAGGGCGTCGTAAAGGTCCACCGCACTGTACTCCACATTATCGACTTTAAACGGCACTTTACTGTCACGTGCTATGGCGACCATCCCGACAACATTTCGAAACGTAAGGAGTGCTTTGGCAGGGATGGCTCCCTCCTCCTCGTCCTCCTCCCCGTTGCTGCGTCCAGATTTGCCTGCGCGAGCATTGGGGATAGGAGAAAGCGGCCCACACAACGAATAAGCCTTCGCATGAGAGGACGCCTCGGGTGTACACCCCCAACCGGAGCAAAACTCCATATTCCTCATGCTGTATTCCACAAAAAATCGTTCAACTCTAGACATTCCTCTGAGCGTGAGAGGACAGAACACACAAAGCTTAAGCGTTTAGGTCCGTGCACCACCGGTTGTCGTCAACAAAGCATGCCTGGTAGTACGCTGTGCGTGCCTTTATTTTCCCACTTACTGAGGCAAATAAAACAGGTCTCGAGCATGCCGTACCTTCTACTGTACGAACAGGTCGATTTGAAGCGGGCATTCTACATAAACACAAAGCAGTAATTTTGTTTTGTAACCTTAACGCACACTGCGTTCAACTGCAGCATACTTACCTATAATTTTACTCAAAACTCTGTGCCGTCTGCTGTGACTCTCATCGACGACGAATCTACACAATACCAGCATCTCACCGGCTGTGATAGCATTGAGGTCGTCATAGTACGGAGATGGCCGGTTCATGTTGCCGTCGTGAGATCGCAGGGCCTGCACCAGGACATGCTTGTCGCCCTCCTTCGACATCCTCGGGATCTTGCGGTGCGCGCATGTCCTCCTCAGCAGATGTGCGGCCCAGAGCGGGTAGTCCTTGCCCCGGGCTTTCTTGGCACTCGCTCCTAGGCTTGCCTTTGTTGAGTTCCTGTTCCCTACGGCGCTGCCGCCGGCGCTCGCCTTCCGCTTGCCATGGGTTTTTTTTCTGCCCGCTCCCCCTCCCCCGAATATTGCTTCCCGTATTTCCTTTGCGAACACGCTATCTCCGGACTCGACATCTCCAGGCTCCTGTGAGCCTATGTCCGACGGAGCTGAACTCTCCTCTACCGACACATTGCTGCTGCCACTTGACATCGGAGCGTCCTTCCCGTTGTCGTCGTCGCTGCTGTCCGATTCGCTCCAATTCTTCCCTGAAGCTTCGCCAAACTGCTTGTCGTTCAGAATCATGCTTACGGCCACCCGACGAGCTTTAGTACCTTCAGTGTCCATGAGGCCCGGCATCAGCCCCGCACCAGGTGGCACCCCCTGTTGTGTATCGGTATGGGGGGTAACCCTGCTGTGGACGGCCTGGCGGACCATGCCGCTCGGTGCCGGCTGGAGCTGCACGGCGCCAGCAGGCGTGATCTGGGCAACACCATGCCCAGCAGCTGCACCACTTTCACCTCCACCCTGCAGTCGCAGAGGTACCGTTTTCGTTCTTGATGGCCGGCCTGCCACTGCTACGGCGTTGTTGTTCATGGTGTGGGTTTATCACGTCTGTTGTGGGAGTCCTCGGGTCTCTCGCCTGGTCGGGACCGGTGTGTGTACGTCGAGCCGTGGCGCTTTCCGTAAATTTTGAAAAAATACGCACCTTCGCGCCTTCTGCCGATAAGAACCACCGGAAACCCTAGTTACGGTTCCGCGAAAAAAGTTACTATTCGGTGAAAAAAGTTACGTATTTTTGCGGCCTGATAAGACACACCCTAATACATGAGTCAACAGATTTAATTGCGTACAGGCTCTCCTCCTGCCGCTGCTCCTCCTCTTCCTCTTCCTTTCGCATTCATTCGTGCAATTTTTTTGCTACCTCGATAATAGTTTTTTTTTGAAGAGGAGTGGCCCGGTAGGGACGCTTTTTGTTTTTTTTGTGGAAAAGGATCGTGCACATTGGTTTGTTGTTGTTTCTCACATTAGCTCTAAAAAAGAAAGATTGGGAGCCCGTGGTCTCAAAACCCGGCATACACGACCCCACGAAGAAACAGAAAAAAATAGGGTACAAAAACCACTCGGAAGAGAAACAAAATGATAGAAAGAAAGACCAGCTACCGCACCAAACGAGAAAGAGCGTCGAGGAGACCGATCAAAATTAAAAAAAAAGGAGAACGGGGAACGCTTCCCACACCCGCCACATGTTGTTGTTGTTGTTGTTGTTGTTTCTCACATTAGCTCTAAAAAAGAAA